GACCCGCGTACCAAAAAAAAAAAAAAAAAAAAAATCTTCCAACAAACCAAAGTCTAGGACCAGATGGCTTCCCAGGTGAATTCTATCAAAAATTTAGAGAAGAGCTTACACCCATCCTTCTCAAACTCTTCCAAAAACTTGCACAGGAAGGAACACTCTCAAACTCATTCTATGAGGCCACCATCACCCTGATGCTAAAACCAGACAAAGATACTACAAAAAAAGAAAATTACAGACCAATATCACTGATGAATATAGATGCAAAAATCCTCAACAAAATACTAGCAAACAGAATCTAACAACACATTAAAAGGATCATACAACCATGATCAAGTGGGATTTATCCCAGGGATGCAAGGATTCTTCAATATATGCAAATCAATCAATATGAAACACCACATTAACAAATTGAAGAATAAAAACCATATAACCATCTCAATAGATGCAGAAAAAGCTTTTGACAAAACTGAACACCCATTTATGATAAAAACTCTCCAGAAAGTGGGCAGAGAGGGAACCTACCTCAACATAATAAAGGCCATATACGACAAACCCACAGCAAATATCATTCTCAATAGTGAAAAAGTGAAACCATTTCCTCTAAGATCAGGAACAAGACAAGGATGTCTACTCTCACCACTATTATTCAACATAGTTTTGGAAGTCCTAGCCACGGCAATCAGAGAAGAAAAAGAAATAAAAGGAACACAAATTGGAAACAAAGAAGTAAAACTGTCACGGTTAGCAGATGACATGATACTATACATAGAGAATCCTAGAGATGCCACCAAAAAACTACTAGAGCTAATCAATGAATTTGGTAAAGTTGCAGGATACAAAATTAATGTACAGAAATCTCTGGCATTCCTATACACTAATGATGAAAAATCTGAAAGAGAAATTAAGGAAACACTCCCATTCACCACTGCAACAAAAAGAATAAAATACCTAGGAATAATCCTACCTAGGGAGACAAAAGACCTGTATGGAGAAAACTATAAGACTGAAGAAGAAATCAAAGATGACACAAACAGATGGAGAGATATACCATGTTCTTGGATTGGTAGAATCGATATTGTGAAAATGACTATACTACCCAAAGCAATCTACAGATTCAATGCAATCCCTACAAATTACCAATGGTATTTTCTACAGGACTAGAACAAAACATTCTTAAAATTTGTATGGAGACACAAAAGACCCCGAATAGCCAAAGCAATCTTGAGGGAAAAAAACGTAGCTGGAAGAATCAGGCTCCCAGACTTCAGACTATACTACAAAGCGACAGTAATCAAGACAATATGGTTCTGGCACCAAAACAGAAATATAGATCAACAGAACAGGATAGAAAGCCTAGAGATAAACCTACGCACCTATAGTCAACTAATCTATGACAAAGGAGGCAAGGATATACAATGGAGAAAAGACAGTCTCTTCAATAAGTGGTGCTGGGAAAACTGGACAGCTACATGTTAAAGAATGTAATTAGAACACTCCCTAACACCATACACAAAAATAAACTCAAAATGGATTAAAGACCTAAATGTCAGACCAGACACTACAAAACTCTTAGAGGAAAACATAGGCAGAACACTCTTTGACATAAATCACAGCAAGATCTTTTTTGACCCACCTCCTAGAGTAATGGAAATAAAAACAAAAATAAACAAATGGGACCTAATGAAACCTAAAAGCTTTTTCAGAGCAAAGGAAACCATAAACAAGATGAAAAGACAACCCTCAGAATGGGAGAAAATATTTGCAAATGAATCAATGGACAAAGGATTAATCTCTAAAATATATAAACAGCTCATGCAGTTCAATATTAAAAAAACAACAACAACCCAATCAAAAAATGGGCAGAAGACCTAAATAGACATTTCTCCAAAGAAGACATACAGATGGCCAAGAAGCACATGAAAAGCTGCTCAACATCACTAATTATTAAAGAAATGCAAATCAAAACTACAATGATGTATCACCTCACACTGGTTAGAATAGCCATCATCAGAAAATCTACAAACAACAAATGCTGGAGCGGGTATGGAGAAAAGGGAACCCTCTTGCACTGTTGGTGGGAATGTAAATTGATACAGCCACTATGGAGAACAGTATGGAGGTTCCTTAAAAAACTAAAAATAGAATTACCATATGACCTAGCAATCCCACTACTGGGCATATACCCAGAGAAAACCATAATTCAAAAAGACACATGCACCCCACTGTTCACTGCAGCACTATTTACAATAGCCAGCAATGGAAGCAACCTAAATGCCCACTGACAGATGAATGGATAAAGAAGATGTGGTACATATATACAATGGAATATTACTCAGCCATAAAAAGGAATGAAATTGGGTCATTTGTAGAGACATGGATGGACCTAGAGACTGTCATACAGAGTGAAATAAGTCAGAAAGAGATAAACAAATATCATATATTAACACATGTATGTGGAATCTAGAAAAATGGTACAGACAAACTGGTTTGCAGGGCAGAAACAGAGACACAGATATAGTGAACAAATGTACGGACACCAAGGGGTGAAAGCGGGGGTGGTGGTGGTGGTCGGATGAATTGGGAGATTGGGATTGACATGTATACACTAATATATATAAAACAGATAACTAATAAGAGCCTGCTGTATAAAAAATAAATAAAATAAAATTCCCAAAAAGAAATGAATGTAATAGTTTATGGGGAACTTCATGGGGAGTTAGTGCATTTACAGAATTCAATCATCTTGTTAATTTGTTAATTAACAATTAACAAAGTTTTAGTTTATTTTTTAAAAGTTAATATGCACTAACTTGCTTTATTTAGGAACTAAAATCTAAATTTAGGTCTAACTTGCTTAATTTAGGAACTAAAATCCAAGATGGAAAGAAAAACAGCTGGAAGACCAAATTCACTCTCCACATCTCAGTTTTTATGTACTAAAGTATCGGACTTACTTTTCTAATTACTTTCTACCTTTGAAGAAGCCATTACACATTTATAAAGATTTGAACACTTGAAAGTGATCACCTGGGAGTGATAACTCAGGTAGAACAGTTTTAATAGCAAGTGGCTATCATTGATCTGATATGATTCTAAAGGAATGATTCTTTGGGGCTCTTAAATGTGTTAATAGTTTATTTTTGTTTATGTTTTTTAAATTGTGTTTGCTCCCTCTTTTCCAGAATCTGAGAGAACGAGTATGGCATGAGAATAGGAATATTTAAATTCTAAAATGAGAAAAAGATAATATTTAGAAAGCGTCAAATTCCGATCCCAACTTGGGAAAAGGAATTTAACTAGACACTGGGCTAAGAAAACTTTAACTTGTATAAGTTTTGGGGTAAAACTATCCCAACCTGCACAGCCTGTCCTCCAAGGGATCTATCCAACTGAACCGTCAGGAATGCGGAGGTTGTCAGCTCATCCCTCGTGGCATTTGCTCCTTGCCTGGAGGAACCAAAGTAAAATAAATTAGTTTGTATTTAAGTTTTAAGATCTTCTAATGTAGGCCTTTCAAGCAGAAACTTAAGTTATTATGAAAGATCAAGACGAAACCAGCTGTTTTGACATGATAAAGCCATAGAAGTTATTGTTTTTTTTAAAGTACTTAACTAACATTGAGCCATGAACTATCCCATGTATTGTTTAGAACTACATATGATAGGTTTCTTTAATCTCCATTTCATAGGTCCATTTTTAGTTCCATAATTACTCTGCTAAGTAGTCAATTCTGTCTGATTTCAAGTTGGAGGTGCCTATTTTGGGAAACCATCTTCACAATGAAAATAATCCATTTGAGTAGAATATGAGCCAAATCTATTAGGCTGGATATTAGAAGTACTTTATCTTTCCATGAATATTTGGTGATCATAGTAACAAATGTGTGGACCCAGAAAAATCAAGAAAATAATCGTCAGAAGTAGGCAATGGTGAAGCCTCATTTTGTCATTCTAGCAATTCTTTAAAGGAATTTTTAATACAACCGTAAAAGAAGCTAAACTACCAGTGACCCAGATAAGGATCAATGAATTGGGTCTTCCCTGGTGGTCCAGTGGTAAATGAATCCGCCTTCCAATGCAGGGGCCACAGGTGCGATCCCTGGTTGGGGAACCGGGATCCCACGTGCCACAGGGCAACTAAGCCCATGCGCTACAACTACTGAGCTCACGCCTCAATGAGAGAGCCCCCATGCCACAAATTACAGAGCTCATGCGCCCTGGAGCCGGCGCGCCACAACTAGAGAGAGAAATCCTGCACACCGCAACTAGAGAGAAGCCCACATGCTGCATCAAAGACCCAACACAGCCAAAAAAAAAAAGTCAATGAGTCAATTCATCCAGTTCATTTGCAACTTCTCTTTCTAGGGTAGCTTGTGGCTATAACTCCAATCACTGGTTTAACTTATATAGCAATCTCTGGGAGATCTGCTTGTTTGATGACTTTGTGGGAGGGAAAAGCCAGTGAAAGCACTGAGCATTGTTTGAAGCCACTCCTCCTATCTTTGTGTGACTAGGGGTTAGCAGGAAGAACACTAATCCTGGAACTGGATTTTGAAAATTAATTATATCCTTTCCTCTGAAGGTTTGAGAGTGAGCTACCTGTTCCATACCCAGAACAGGTTAACAATAGCCTCTCAACCTGGGCAACACACACAGACACACCCCCCAAAACACAGAATTCAGGGAGCACGTCTCATTTATCTCAGAATATTTCATTGTACCAACAGTCAAGTGATTGATATAAAAATGTTCTACAGTGGGGTGCAAAAAAAACGGAAGGATATGCTCATGCCAGGCATACGTTTAAAAAAATAAAAAATGCTTTTCATAACAAAGGCACCCATAAAGATATAGTCTTTTAATGCTAATAGCCTAAATTTTCCATGAGCTTATCATGCTAGCAAACACTTCCGGGAGCCACTGGGAGCACCAGCTGGGGAGTAACACAGAGCTGAGGAAACACCAGGGTCTGTTATCGCCTGTCCTTCCTTCCTCACATCTGCAACTTCTTGGATGTTTCTTCATTTCCTTTTTTTTTTCTGCAGGAAAAAAATTCATCCAGCTAATAGACTACATCACCAAACTTTTGTCACCATTTTACTATTTTTTTTTCCTGGAGTATTTCAACCAGCAAAACTGAAAACCCTCACCAAACTTTTGCCGTCTGACACTCTTAATAAATATTTCACTGTTCATCTCGAGCCCTTCTTCCTCTTCCTGTCAAAGTGACTCATGCTTCCATCCACACAGATTCAAACCAATTTGCTTTATTGACCCAGAAGGTCAAGGACTCCACTGCAATCAAGATATAATAAAGTTGCTCTTTGCCTCTAATTTTGAAACCCTGTGCCTAGGGGGAAAAAAAGCAATCTACTTTGATATGATTTCTTCTTTATAAATCTGTGGTGCTTGTTACTCATTAAAAATAAATGCTGCATGAAAATGGAATTTACTGCTTCAAGTGACTCATCATTGCCACTGTTCAAAGTTTGTTCACTTTCAACTACTTGACATTTCAGAGAAATATCACTGCTAAAATTATTTTTCTCCTATCATTTCAGAAATAAAGAGACAAAGTGATTTAACTCTAGTTTGTCACCTTCAACTCTGCTTCTTGGATTTAACCTATTTACATCCCTGCATTGAAATTATCACATAAACTGGAAAGCTGTTTAATTTGAAAGCTAGTCTTCAAGAGGCATTTTCTAAATGCCTCTTTGCTACCTTTATGGAAGTTTTCGAAGTTCTGCAAACCATACAGTATTAACAAACTGACATATTTAACATCCATGATATTAAATGACAAAAACTCACAAGAGGACTCAAGCAATCTAACTTATATTCTTGATATCTCAAAAAGTCATGCATTCTCATCACAGAAACCTTGAACACATCAAACTGAAAGAAGAAAACTAAATGACCCCCTCCCCCAGCCCCAGTCCTAGTCCAAAGGTCATGACTATTAAAAATGTGACATATTTTCATCTTCTTTTTCTCTTTGATTTCTTTACAGTAAGGACCAAACTTGTCCTCCTCCTGAGTTCCTTATCCCAGCGAATAAAACACTACCCGCCTGTGCACATACCAGAAATCTGGGGCCACCCTTGACTCAGTCATCTTCTCCGTTCTCTGTAACCAGTCATTCAGATGTCAACTCGTTAATACTTTGCACACTTGCTCATCCTTTCCCTCCCTTACACTGAACTCTGGCCATATTATCATTCAGTTGGATTATTGCAACAAATTCCAAATGGCCTCTCTGCCATCAATCTCCCACCAGTCCATTCTTTAGAATAATTTAGAAAAACCAGAATAATTTCTCTAAGATGGAAACCAATCATGTCACTCCCCTGTGCAAACTCTGACTGGCTCCCAATGCCCTGAAAATAAAGTTCATCTTCCCCAGGATAGTTACAAGGCCATTCACTATTTAGCTCCTTCTAATTTCTCTGGTTTTATCTTTCGCTCCTTAACTTTGCTCTAGCCATACATCATTACTAACCGTAGAGCACGATTTTCCCTGCATTGCTAGGAAAAACTTCCCTATTTGCTTGCTTTCATGGCTCCCATTTTTGCTCCCACTTAGATGTCGCTTCTAAGAGCCCTTCACCAATAGCCTAGGAGTTAGCTTGAGTGTCTGTCCCTAATTCCCCAAAGATCACTCAGCTTGGTTTTATCTTAAACCCTTCATATTTCATTGAAATGCCTGATAACCATCTTTCTCTCTTTAAAGTATAAATTCTTGGGCAACGTTTTTTTTCTTTTTTTCACCACTGTATCTTTAGTATCTAGCTCAGTGCTTGGCACATAGAAAGCGCTCTATGAATACTTTCGTACGATTGAAGGAATAGCTACTGCGTTTAAAATTTACGACCTGATTTAATCCGTTTTAGTTATATCCACAGAGTTATTGGTATGGATTACAAATTGCTAATTCCTCAAAACATTCTCTTGAATTACTTATTTAGTCTTTCTTCTTTGATCTGAGTGCTACAATTAATTATATTTTTTACATACCAAAAAGAATTAAGAGGAAGAACAAGAAACAATGTAAAAGAAAAGCTGACTCGGAACAATAAATTTATCCCTACAAATGCCACACTTTGCACACGCTTGTCTGAATTAAAATTTTAGAAAAGAAAATTGCAAAATAAGGACACAGCTTCTACCAAGGTATAGCTGCACACAGGCCTTAAAGAGAGCTGCAGATCAAGGTGTGAAATGTTGCTTCACCAGTTACAAGAGTTGTGACCTTGGGTTAAATTACTTCATCTGCCTAAGTCCTCCTTCCTTTTTTATCTTTACCTTTCACTTGAAAATAATCTGGTTGTGAGGAAGAAAGATAATATATGGAAACAACTAGCACTTTGCTGGCACAAACATGCTGCTCAAAAAAATGGTTACTATGAAGATAGCATCTTAAACATAGAGCTAAACAGCTAAATACATTCATCTGTGACAGGATATGATGTGAATGTGGAGTCAGAAATGTCCCTGGACACAGTGGTTCTCATTAATGCCACAGTGTACATTAGAATCTCAGGAGTCCTACCAACACCTTTATTTGGTATAAAGTGGGGGCCAGGCATTTGGATTTGTGAAAAACTGTCCAGGTTAGTATGTGCAGCTAGTGTTGGGAACCACTGCCTAAGGCAGTGACTGTCATCATTAAAGTGCATATGAATCATCCTGAGATCTTGTTAAAATGCAGGTTCTGCTTTAGTGGGTCAAAGAGGGGCCTGACATTTTTCTAACCAGCTCCCTAGTGATGCCCATGCTTTTGGTTCACAGACCACCCTTTGGGTTCCAAGAACTATGGGATAGGGAAAATCATCTCATCTCCTTTACTTGGTTAAGCTCAAGGCACTGGCCAGTATAAGTGTTAAGTGGTCACACTGTGTGGACAGATGTCTCTGTCATCTGGTGGGACGCTCACCAGAGAGAAATGTCACGATATCAGCAGACACCTGAGTCTGCATACATTCAATATGTTCCCTGAAGATTGCCATCACCATGTAGGCAAAGGCAGGATCCTGCTTCACCCTTGCACCTTTGGCCTACAGCCCTCAGCTTTAAGATCTTTTTTGAAAATTCTTTTCTTTTTCTCAGTCTTCTCAGAAATATTCTACTTTTCCTGATTTCACTTAAAAAAAAGTTTGAGAATCCCACACTGCATGATCTGTTGCAGAATCCCTGTCCCTTTGGAAGAGTCCAGCATGCTATGTGTACTTCCCTTACTTGGTTGGACACTCCCCATTGGCACTGACTCTCTCTAAGTAAACTTAACCTTCAATTAACTCAAGTCATTATGCAAATGCAACGGCATTTTTCTTCATTACTTCTACGAATTTCATGAGGACAAAGAATAAGGATGCATCAATTTGAGGTCTCTGGAGTATGAAATAGAATCATAAATTATATACATGCCTTAGAGGATTTGCATCATTGAAATGTTGCAGCTCCAATCAAGATGGGCTCTGTGAATTTTAACAACAAGAAGACATGGCACCTGATGCCAGTTGGAGTGTTAGCTTGCATAGGAGATGAGTTATTCAACTGCATATCCACTAAAGGAACACTACCCTTGGGCTATCAAAACCTTTCTCTTAGATTAGAAAGGATGACACTTATCTAACCCCTCCTGCTTGTGGACAGCAGCTACAGAATACAGTCAAAATCATATCAAAAGAATACTACTTGCACGTTACACAAACCTCACTGGTGTATTTATAGGATAATTCTACCCCCTATTGCATGGAATTTAATGAAATTTAACTTTGGAGCAAAATGTGACCTCTACGGAACTTGAGATCTTATGAAAGAGGGAGACTTACCAGGTGTAGATAATCTGTCCTCTGGGATAAGTGTAGAGTATAATGTAGCAGTCACCACCATAGAATTCACCACACGAGTTTCGGTCAATTTCGATCCTACCATTGTTTTCTACACGCCAAATCTAAAAGTAATGAAATATGTGTACCCAAATCAAAATTTTCTTGATCTAATGATACTTCTCACAGATTTAAAAAACATTTTGGTTTAGATCTGTCATTAAGCAACTTTTAAATTACTTTTCTAACTAGTTTACAAATTAAGCAACCGGAAGAAATTTTTATCAATTTGGCAATTTGGTTATTGACTTTTTAAGCGTTTATAGCTCTTTTTAGTTCTTTTGTACCCTTCACAGTACTTAGCTCAGTTCTGAGCCTGTTGATTAATAAATACATATTGTTTGATCGATTAGTGAAAATAACATGACACTCTAGTGGAATAACAAACTGAAATATTCCGCTCAGAAATACATCTCTTAACTTACATAAAATTTTTCATCAGTTGGGAAGTAATTTTTTTTTACTTTCCTTTTCCCTGTGTTTTAAGCCATGAGACTATTGTTTTCCCAGGTAATAGTGGCAGATTGTGACCAAATAATAAAAATACCAATTGCATGACTTATATTTTCAAAAGCCACCATCTAGGCACGAGACTGACTAAGATAAAAGCAGGCAGAACTAGTTATTTTCTATTTCCTTATCCTTGTCACAGATTAAAGACACTTTTAATTAAAGATTAAAAGTTGGAGAGATGAGAGTTGTAAATGAAACGGGAAAGTAACACTTGAGTGAGAGACTGCAGGCACTATGTGTGCGAGCACCATCCTGCCTGGGTCCTGGGGAGGCTCAGGATGGACCCTTTGCTTTCAGATAAGGAGATAAGCAAGTGAAGAAGAGCAGTGCAGAGATTGCAGAGAGCAGCTTTCCCACGCCATCCCAGAGGAACAATGGCAGCATGGCCTGGCCAAACCCAAAAACCTAGAGAAAGCCCTGGATGTTAATATCCCTGGGATGGCATGGGAGGGCATCTCAGAGATGCTGTGCCCTAACGTGGAGACTACAGCTGGGACACACTTGGTGCTGGGAGCCACATTTGCCATGGGGTCTGCTGGCTGTGTTGAGCTCCAGAAAAGGATGTCTGAGCAGGAGACAGACCCAGCCCCAGAAGCTAATACCCCTCTGACAGCAATCATGGTCGGGGGCGGGGGGGGGCACTTCTCCCTTTGCAGTTCCCACAACCCCTGCACAGCTTAGATTCACACTTCATGTCTCTGAAAAGAGAAAAAACTTTAAAATCTTTTTACTGTATACTTTGGTCCAAGCATTGTGATAAGCTCTGGGAACAGAGACATAAATTATTCAATTCCCTCCCTCAAAGAACTGGCAAGAGGTCTGGGAGGAGAAACCTGTAAGTAAATGAACAATTCTGTGGTACTTATATGATGAATTCTATGAAGAATATTACTTATGGCTTGAGCACAGAGAAAGGTCATTTCAGTGTGGAGGGAAGGGTTCTCGGAAGAGGGGCAGCTTGTGACTTAACAGAGTTACAAAGGAGGAATGGGAATGTTAGCCAGATGGCAGAGGGGAAGAGTGCTCAAGGCTGTGGAAGGCTGAGGTGCAGAGAGCAAGTGTCAATCATGGAGGTCCAGGAGGCCCACCTGAGGATGGACGTTCCCAGGAAGACTGTGGAGAGCCAGCAACATATTCTAGAATGGAAGTGACATTATCCTGTTTCCCTTAAGTTAGATGACCCAACAGCAGATAAAATGTCAAGAGATTTTAGTTAGGGAGAATTCTTAGGAGGGTTTTAACAATTTTTGTCAAAAAATAGCAATAACCGGGCTTCCCTGGTGGCGCAGTGGTTGAGAGTCCGCCTGCTGATGCAGGGGACACGGGTTTGTGCCCCAGACCGGGAAGATACCACATGCCGCGGAGTGGCTGGGCCTGTGAGCCACGGCCGCTCAGCCTGTGCGTCCGGAGCCTGCGCTCCGCAACGGGAGAGGCCACAACAATGAGAGGCCCGTGTACCGCAAAAAAAAAAAAAAAGAAAGAAATAGCAATAACCAACAAACTCAATTTGAATGCTCTAAAAATATCTGTGATTTTGGCACATGACACATGCCCAATTTGCCTTTGTGAATGCCTCTACAGTGCAAGGGAAGGACAAACTTATGTAGTGGGTGCTTTTGGAGCAATGCGCCCTCACTGGACAATCCCAGTTGCAAGAGCAGGAGCATTTCTGGACCAGGAAACAAGTTGGAGATGGCTGGGTTCCATGGAGGCCTCTAAGGTGATAATTAGGTGATCTTGCACAAATCGCCTAACTTCTTAAAATCTCAGCACACACACTGTAAACTAGGACTGAAAGCCAGACAACAGCTCTTCCAGCTTCAAACTCCCTGGTTTAATATACAGTCTTGAACCATTTTTATTAATAATAAAAATTCACAATTTACAAAGTTTGTAGTTTCCTGAAGTTATATTTCCACATATCTTGCCGTAAATGGGCTTGACAAGGACAAACAAATGAACAAAAACATGTAAATACCTCCACTTTGCCGGAACCATCATCCACCATATTATGCTGGGCTGCCATTGTTGGAGAACTGTGTAATTTTGAGGCGTCAAATGGAATTTGTTTTATTTGAGCCACTTTCTCTGTGACATATACTTTCCCAAAGCCATCACTCTGATCTCTATCTCTCCAGTCCTTAAAGAACTGTTTGAAGATTGGTGTTTCACCTCCTTCTGGAAGAACTTGAATCTGAAATTTAAAAAATAATAATAATTATCAACAGAAAAATAAGAGACCAAGGAAAAACATTAATCTAGTAGTGGAGGAAAAAACTGAGGAAATGCAAAGATAATCCTGCTTTTTGTGATGACAGATGTAAACTTGGAAGCTGGGATCCTTAATTGAATGCAAAAGGGAAGGTTATCAAATACTAAGCGAAAACAATGCAACCTGGCTTTTTTTTTTCTTACAGCTAAAGTAATTGACACTGAATCTGGATGTTTGAGAGAAGAATAAAGTTATTTCGTATGTTATCATTACAGTCAAATAAGTTTGACTGTTTTCCTACACTAGGTTCATAAGATGTCTGTGACCTGAAAGAAATGATCTCATTGTGTTACTTGTGCCAGGACATAAAAATGAAGAGCAAAGATGAGGCTGAGCGATTCAGAAAAGAAGAGCAACTATCCAGTGTCTAAGTTGATCTCCATGAAGGCAAATATTCTCTGGGCATTAGTCCATGTCTATACAAATTGCTCTAAGGAATAACTGATAAATGCTCTCAGTTAATTCAGTTGTGGTTGATCATCTTGACTTAAAGGCTATGGAGGAAGTGGATGTGTTCTTATTCTCATCACAAAGTCCCGTGGAAGGTCTGATCTCCAATTTCTGCAAAATTCCATCCTCCACACAGATATAGTTCTAGGGACGCATGATACAGCATGGCACACACGTGAGAATGACTTCCGTGCATACGTTATTTTGAACCACATTCTTTCATGAGTTTTGTGGCGATGTCATGAGCTCCCATGTTTAAAAACATTTTTTCTAGCCAGTTCATTTCCACACATACCTGAGTATTAGGAGAATAATGCATTTGTTCTAGGAATTCTTCAGCTGTCTTCATGGCAGCCTTTCTCTCCTGGCGATTAGCATCTCTACCTAACATGCAAGATATATGAAAGAGACAGAATTTCAGAGAAGCAAGGTATTATATGATTAAGAAGTATTTGTGCACCAAAAAATAAACATAATTATAATTGAATTTAACTATAACCCTGAAAGAATAGCAAAATTTTCCTAGTATACTAAATATATTTAACAATATTATAATGAACACTCGGTATAAAAAAGATTCTTTTTATAGTGCCCAAAGGCTTTCTTTCTCCCCATCATCCCTAGTAAATAATGCTGGTAGGAAGAAAATATGGGTTTGATGTCTGCATTTTACAGATCACGCAGAAACGTAAGTTTTTTTTAAGTTAGAAAAGATGTTTTATTTACCTTTCCGAAGAAATATGTATAAATCTGAAATTGCTGAATACATCAACAATACCAATGGCATTTTTTACCTTTCCACACAAAAATCTGTTTTGCAGCACTGTGGTCCAAAATGAAGCATTCTTGAGAAAGCAGCATCGCCATGGAGAAGGGGTTTTCTTCTGCCACCATGCTCAATTTCATGGAGCCACTGGCATCTGAAACCTAACATGAAAACCATGAGCTTGCTTGGGGATGATCAATATGTTCTAAACTCTTTGATCATGGTGATGGCTGCACAACTCTGTACATGTAATAAAAACCACTGAATTGTACACTTTAAATGGATAAACTTTATAATCTGTAAATTATATCTCAACAAAGCTATTTCAAAGAAAACAAACAAAAAAACCCCATGAACCCAGTTATACCCTTAGAAAGGCTTTTGTAAAGTCCTTTGGGGTAAAAGTATTACTAATAAAAAGTTAAGTTTCAACACAGAAAATAATAATGATAATAATAATGGATAAGGTTTGTTGTGATTTCATATATACTAGGCACCACACAATGAACTTTAACAAGATTATTTCTTTTTATTAATACAACAATCTTTTAAATAGGTAATAACCTTACACTCACTGCACACACACAAAAAGCTGAAGCTTAAACATTCATTCATTCAACATTTACTGAGTACTATCATATGCCAGACACTGTGCTAAGGAAGCATTGATACATTACAGTTTATGCTTACAGAATTTTTTTCAATATGGGGCCTGTAATTTACCTCAATTTATTTAAATACTTTGTGTAAATTATCAAAGTAAATATCATCTGTCACAAATAAAATTGTGTCACAAGTAAACTTACCTAGACTCTTGAAGTTTGTAAACAACTACAGAATATATATATATTTTTAAGTTTCAGGTGATCTTACAAAATTTGCTAGGTTAGAATTCATTGTTTTTCAAAGGCCTGGTAGGCTGCAAGGTAATCCACCTGGGCACTTGTTAAATATGCAGAGTTGAGGGCCCTACCCAGATCAGTAGTGGGGTTTTGCAGCACTGTGGTAGGGCTTGAATTTTGTATTTTTAGAAATCGCCCTAGGTGACTCTGCTTCCCAGCTCTGTTCAACAAACCCAAATTCAAGTATTTTCAAAAGGACTTTAGAGTTAGACGTATGCAATACATTAAAGATCCACTAGAGGGAGCATTGTTTCAACATTAACATGTTCACATTTAAAAATATTTCCCTTGTCCCATTATGCTGTCCAAGAGGGAGAACAGCTTTATTTGATGATGTGACATAAAAGATATTTGTTAAACTGTTGCAATTTGGTTTTAGAAACAGTAATAAAAAAATAAGCAGCCACAAAGTCTTTAGAATAACAATTTCTGTGTGGCTTATATTAAAATTATCAGTATTTAGGAGTGGTAACCACGTTTTCCTTTGCCAACTAGGAGGAAAAGAATCTACTTCCCCTTCCAATCTACAAAAAGGAAGTTATTCTATACAAGTTAGTAACTTGATCTTCATTTAAAATCACAGCGTATCTGAGCCAGAAGGTCCCTTTAAAGAGCAGCAAATATAATCCCTTCTTGTAAGAGATGAGAAAACTATTCAGTTCTGCAGGGAGATTAAGGTCTGCTCCAAATCACATGCTTAAAAGTTACAAGGGGAGGGAATGCTTGAAGGATCTGAACTGTCTCCTCAACTGGTACATCTTGTGGATTGTGTTACCCTCACCAGCAATAAAATCATAAAATTGTGGAGTTGGAAGGAACCTGAGTAATCTTCTAATTTAATCTCTCTCTCTCTCTCTCTTTTTTTTTCAGATAAGAAAACTAAGACCCAGAATGGCCATGTCTTGCCCAAGGTCACCCAGGCAGTCCTTCCCACAGAGCTGACATGGAACTAAGTCTGCCAATGCCCAGGACAGTTTTTTCCCTGTTTCCTTCCAGCTGTTTGATTTGATAGCCTTGTGCTCATAACAAAGAAAGCCTTCATGATGGCTAAACAGGATATTTTAAATAAGGGGATGATTTTATAGCTTATTAAGATTTTATAAGAAAAAGCTTACAAAGTTTTTTTACTTCATGAAGGAAACATTTTATTGAATGTAATGTATCAAAACATATTGCTGCAAACTAATACAGCAACAATATATAATTTTATTTAAATCACAGCAAATTATTATTTGTTGTTTTTAATAAAAATTTTAAAAGTAATAGAAAGAGGAATTTAAATAACTATGCTAGAGCAAAGAACGGATTCTGCCCACACATTTCTCTTTGAGGGCAATGAGGAGAAACGCCATCTGTAGCAAAGAGTCCCTCCCAGTACAGGCTTCCCCAGCAGCTTCCAGTCCAGTAAAAACAACAGAACTCCCTAACAGTGAACCCACCATGTACAGTTTAGCCATTTTCCTGTTAGTTATGTCTGCTATAATGTCGTCATCCTCTTCTCCATCCCTAAGCTCCGGCTTTTCCCCTAAAACCTGGGGAAAAAAAAAGTGCACAAATAAAAGATAAAGACCTCTCATTAACGGTGCAAAGTTAAAAAAAAAAAAAGTAAAACAGCTTACATTTCTAAAGTCATAGATTATAAAATATTGGCAATCAAAATGACCAGGCTCAGACATGTCTCACCAGTCATATTAAATTGTCCTTTTACCATGGGTCAAATCAATCAGTGGCATTTAGTAAACAGTGAGTTTGCTGGTGATGTGAAGGAGAAAGTGAAATCCCAAACTTGAAAATGTAGGTCTCCGTATTATTGAAAACTAGGAGGAATTAATTAAAATTTGAGTTCTACCTTCAGTTCTACAACAGAATTTCTTCCATGACCTCTGCCTCTAGCAGCAATCTATAGGCTTTATTAATTTATTATCACAAAGACTTTGTCCAAATTACTATCTGAGGGTAGGGTACTATTATCATTATTGATTTAGACGAAAGCGTAAGTTAACCACACCATGCTTTGTTTCCTGCTGTATTTTTGGCATAGAACAAATGAATGTCGAATGAATGAATGCATTTATTTATTCTTTGCATATCTGATGCAATCCAAAAGTTCAAGTAAAGCATTTGGTAGAAAATACATTTGAATCTGCTTTGAATTTCTGTACACCAAAATCACAAAAAAATCTATAAAGCACCTTAATTAATTAATTTAATTAATTGACAAATAACATAGGATGTTAAGGATGGGAATCAAATATAAATTTATTGAAAACAATGTGATTTTTATAACAATACATAGATATAAATTTAAGTTTAGAAAATACAAAGAAGCTATTCACTTAGATTCAATAAATATTTAATATACAATGAGATTCCTTGCATAATGTGCTTTACAGTCAGTATTCCTCACAATATATTGTGTGAAAATATATACTGCTGAATACCAGACAACAATAAAAATGTATATAAATTCTAATCCTTGCATGAGCACGCCAAAGCCTCTAGTTCAGAAATACATTAAAGACTTATTTCCTCTCAGAATATGCCCATCTTTTTGTTTATACAGTGATCAATAAAACCCTTTAATTACTGACCACACTAAATGATTATAATATAGTTTTTCTTTTTTTTTACTAAAAGTAGGATCAAGACAAAAATTAAAATACAACCAAAAGTGCTTTTTTTAAAAAAACAGTTTTACATTGGTAGAAATATGTGTAACTTATAAGAGCAGTGAAAGGTCTCATATACCCTTTAGAAATTCTACTTCAACCAAGACAATAGTTTGGAATCAACAGTTTGGGTTAAGGACATATTTAATACTGGGAAGTCTCCCAGTGGACTAAGTAAGTCTGAGATTTGGGACATACTCGAACTTTTAATTTTCAGACAACAATTCCCATATTAGCTAGGGATCTTAGCCTCTCAAAGGACTGTAGCATAGTTGGGAATTGAACCCAGGGAATTTACCAGAAACAGGCTTAACTCCAGAGGTACAGGGAGGCTGTATATTGTCAGGTATCATTTTAAAATTCAGTTCAACAACTAAGCATTTACCAAACACCTCACTGGGATATACAAAAGAGTTTCCAACCACCCTGCACAACCCTTACAAACTTTACATCCTTCCTAGAAAAAGGAAAATAGTTTAATAGGTTCACCTTATCAACTATGCCACACGTTTTGACCTTTGAAATAAACCGTAAATACAGCCTTTCTTTTTCTCTACAGGTAGGATAATGCCTAAATTTTAAAAACCCATTTTAGGTTTCTCAAGTGATGAGCATTTAGCTCATGTAGCCCTTTGTGTATGAAATAACATATACTTTGACAATCTAAAGAGGAAGGCAAAGAGAGAACCCTTATCTCAGGATGTTCCATGAAAGTTTCATCCATTGTCCTAGCCAAGACCTGCCAGGGTCTTGGAAAGGGGCGCCCCCCTTTCCTTCAATTATTTTCTATAAATTTCTACTTAAAAGTACCAGCATCCTCTGACATGCTCCAAACTTACCTTATCTTTCCACGAAACTGACCATTCCCAATTCTGTTTGTGTCAGTGAATCTCTATTCCTCTATTCACCTGGACTTAAAATCATGTCGTTAGTTTTAAATACTTCCTGTCCTCTACTTTGAGTCTCCTAGCCTCTTAGTCATTAAATTCTCCTTCTTTATAATGATGTTCAGAGTCACTGTTTCCTATCTACATTCATCCCCACCCTAATGTAGTTCTTCATCACCCAAGTCACGGGGTATGCCTACTCTTGCAATTCCCTCCTGCCTTCAGTCCTCCCTCATCTTTTCATCCAGAAAGTTATCCTGGACAATGGCTGGAAGGCCCATCTTATTTCACTTTACTCCAATGCTTCAAGAATATGACTCCAGATAAAGATTTATATCTTTTATCTGCAGCAGTGATTCTTAAGGTTCAATGCGCTCAAGCAACATCTGAGTAACTTGATAAAATACAGATTCCCAACTGCCAGCTATTAAGTCAGTGGATCTGGGGTGAAGCCCAGGATTCTGCACTCCAGATGATTCTGAATTGGATGCTTACTGACAGAGCCCCACCTCTTCTCTCTGGATTCCAAGGTTCCTCAAGAGGCTGGATGTGACCTACTTGGCATTATTTCCCAGCATCTACCAAGTAGCCTTCTCTAATCAAGCTCATGTTTTCCATGTCCCCTGGGAGCCATGCACTTTCCTTCCCCAGGGCTGTACCTAATGCTCTATGTAACTGCTACCTAGCTTGACTGGCTGTGGCAGAAACAAAACTGAACAATTATTCTTTGGTTGATTCAGTTAATTATAATCAGCACAGTAATAGTTACCACTCATTGGATGTCTACCATGAGTCACACACTGGATCAGGAGCTTTAGACACATGTAATTTAAATCTTATAAGAGCTCCCATTAACCAGATACTGTTATTATCATTTTATAGAAAAGGCCACTGATGCTCAAAGAGGCAAAGCAATTGTTTTCACAAAGCTGCTAAGTGTTGAGACTGAGATTCTGGTATAGGTTCCTTTAATGCCATTTCTGTAACTTTTAGAATAATTGGTTGCATACTTTCCTAAATCAAGAGAAACTAGGCAAGTCTTTGAAATGGACAAAAAGATTCTTTCCATGGATGGTGTCTAAAGGACCCTTCTGGTGATATGATGTTACAGAGGTCTGCACCTTTTCTTCTGAGTTATTTTTTAATCCAGTAGAAGACTGATAGCAGCAAATGATTTTGTCCACAGAGATGCACAGGAATTTTATCTGGTGGAGATGAAACTAATTTCTGCCGTGTGAAAGAGGCCAGTTTTGCAGTTACTAGCAAATTCATTTCAACACTGATTGCCCATACCTTTGTCTGTTCTTTGGATCCTCTTTGAACTCATTATAATATCTTAGTTGTTTTCTTAGTGAATGACTTAAATGACATCTTTGACATGGTTATTTTATATTTGTCTGAGATTCATGATTTTACTTCTTTGAACACTATCCTTTAACACATAGTACCCCACTTGTCTAAACCACAGATATTGGAATCTATTTATATATTTATTGCCTTTTACTATGTTACATGTATTCAGCTAACACTTTTCAAGTCCATTATGTGCCACACTAAGTACTTTAAAAATTTAATATAACCGATGCTTACATGTTACTATGTACCAGACACCATTCTAGGCACTTTACATTTATTAAGTCATTTCATCTTCATAACAAGCCTATGAGGTGGCACCATTATTATCCTATTTTATGCCTGAAGAAACAGACTAAATAACTCGGCCAAGGTCACGCAGCCAGTAAGTGACAAAGTCGGGATTTGAACTCTGGCTCCAGAGTGTGTGTTCTCAACTAAAAGGCTGTGCTGCCTCTTGTAGATACTTCAAAAGATCTTCACTTAACTGTTTAGGGCTTGTCTCTGGAGATAAAGCAGAAGTTTTTTCATAGCAGAGACTGTACAGGGGCCACGTTTATTTCTCCCATTCGGATCAGAACAATGTCAGCAAATACCACAGGTGGCACGCATCCCATACACTATGGTTACGGTGCTCTACCTTCCTCTCCACGTAGCTTTCATGTTTCTCCAAATCCTCTCTGTCTACTCCCCTTTCCTCTTGGTTCTGCCTATGCTGTGGGCATTAAAGGTCAAAAGAGAGAAGTTCTCTCATCATATCAGAGTGCTGTGGGAGCAGGCAGCCCTTAAAGAGAAGATACAACAGGGTGTAACAAACATGAAAGAGCTACCGAAGAATGTAAAATAACAGAGCAACAATACTTCTTTACCCATAAAACTGTCAAAGGCCAGGAGAAAACTGACTGTATGTAGTGTTGGGAAAGATTCAGTATTCTACCAGGCACCCTGGTGAGAAGGAAAATTCTTAAAAGTGATGACCAGTAGGTAACAGAAACCTTACAAGCATGTCTATCATTTAATCCCATTATTCTATTCTAGTAGTTTATTCTAAAGAAATAATTTAAATGTATGCCAAAAATAATTTAATGAATATTCATCACAGCATTATATAATATTAAAAAATGCAAACCACCTAAATGTCCAACATGGAAGGAACTGATTAAATAAATTAGGCTACATCCAAAGAATGGAAAACTATAGTCATTATAATATCAAAAATTAATTGATTATCAGGAAAATCTTCATAACATTTCAAATAAAAATCTAGATTTCAAAGCATTATCTACGGTATGAACTCTTTCTTGTAAAAGCACAGAGCTGCATATGTGAAAATAAAGATTGGAAAAAATTTGGTTACTCGTTTTTCAAAGGTGTGACTTGGGATGATATTTTTCTCTACTACAACTATATTTTGTAAAATTTCAACAAGAAACATGTATTTTTCTTTAATAAATAAAACTGTAAAAACTTTTATTAGAAAAACTGCTCACCTCTTGAATTTGTTTTGCTCCCAATAGAATAAACTGCAGTATCTTATTACTTCAAACAGAGTTAATATCACTTCATTTTAATACAGTCTACCTTAGGCTTCTGCCTCAGCCTTATCCACTCAGTTCATCAAAG